TTCTAAATAACCAAATCCCTTGCCTTACAGCTCTGTTTAGATCTGATGCTTTACACTACTTAATTGAAATAAATACCCCAATCCTGTCACTCCCCACGCTCCATCACAGTCACTGGAGTTCCACTGGGAACTGGGATTTACGTCAGCCGGGGATCCAGCCTGCGTGTTTCAATGTTGTATCTGTGTTGGCACCGACCAGGAGCTTCACAGCACCTTGCAGAAGCAGCATGGCGTAGTTTGAAAGAAGTGTGGAGAATCTTCAGCATTTCATAATGTTAATTTCAACCATTTTCAAGAAAGGAATATGTTGGTTAGTCTGGGTGTGTGGCTTTTTTTTTTTTTTGGAGGAGAGGCTAAATGTGATGGTTTTCCAGCTCTGTTTCATTAGCTCTCTGTTTGCAGTCTTCTGTCAACAGACCTAAGTATGAAGAAGTTCACTGCAAGACAAGGAGAAGGATCTCCGCAGGGATGGTAATATGTTTCTTGCTTCTACAGAAATGATGAGGTAGAATGATTACCTTTCCTTTAAAAAAATTGGAAACCCACTTCTTGCATTTTTCCTGAGCTGGAGGGAAGGAAAGGAGAAGGAGACAGCAGTTATTTTACAACTTTGACCTTTTTGTCTCCCAGACTTCAAACACGATCAGACTGGAGAGGGAAAAGAATAGACTATAAACAGCAAGTGGCGGGGCTGTAGGTGTACCCTTAGCATTAGATTTATTTTTTTTTTTTTTTTAAGACTAGGAAGATATGACTGTTTAATCCTTAACCAACAGCCTAGAAATCTTGGTCTGCATTGGCAGGGAAGACTCATGCGCTGCTTTGTCAGTGCAAACAGCATAAGCAGTGTGCATCAATTACAGCTGTACAGACGTCGAGGCCCCTTAGTGCTGCCGGGCCCCCCCCGGGCCGAGGGGCGGAGGTGCGAGGAGGCTGCCTTGCCGTGCTGCGTCTCGCCCTGCCAGCGCAGCCAGGCTCCGCGGGCACGGCTCAGACTCTGCAAGCAGCTCCCGAGCTAAATTTTACAGGCATTCGGCAAGCGGGAATGGGGCCAGCAGGCTGGGGTTCCGTGCCCGAGCTCTGCTACGTGCAAAGCAGCAGAGAAGCTGTTCGCTTCTTCCCGTGCACCGGGTGACCTTTGTTCCTGGCCCTGCTTGGAGAGGAGAGACGAGAAGCTCCGTGTCGCTGCTCTCGGCGTGTCTTGGCTTTGCATTCCTAAAGCCAGCCCCTTCCCCAGCGGCAGGCACATCCCGGTGCCAGGCTGGCTTGTGTCTGCGCTGACATTTAAGGATAGCAGTGTGGGTTGCTCTGGACTGGATCGGGGGAATTAAAAATATAGAATTGGACAGTAAATAAATGAGAGGCCTTGCGACATTTCAGTATCTTGGCCACCCAGCACTCATTTATTTCAACTGGTTATTTCCTGAGGCAGTTCCGCTTTAGTCCATTACTGCTGAATTAAAACATATACTTTCATAGCCTGTGAAAGCAGAACTTCATTGTGTACCCTGAACGCCTCTCCCCTGGTGTGTTTGAGTGTTTAAATCCGGCAGGAGCGCGTGTCGCACCAGGGATTGATTTGGTCCACAGGGTTCAGCCAGGGGAACTGGCCTGTCTCAGCGTTCATGAACAGCCTTTTGCTGCTTGGGGAAACTGGGTGGTGAAACTTGTACCGGGTGCTTTGCCGGCACCTTCCCCTCGCGCCGGGCTGGGTCAGGCCGTGCCATCCCCGGGGCTTGCGTGGTCTCTGGAGACCTCGTGCTTCACTCCTGACCCCAGCCCCATCCTTGTTCTAGCCTCAGGTACGGCCGGCCCTAACAGGGTGTATCCTGTCCTGTTCCTCAAGGTGCATTGCATAAAAGCTGTGAAATGTGTATTAAAATTGTATGTTTTCCAGATTTTAATAGGAATACTTCATGACATTAGTGCTGCCTTCTTGGAAACGTGTCTCTACTGTAAATTTCTGCTTTTTCCGATGTTCCTTCCAGCCACATGGATTCAGTTGGCAAGAAGAAACTAAGGCGATAGTTTTACATATTATTTTTTCTTATTTACAGTAAATAATAATACCCTGTTTATAGTAATTATCACCCAAGACATTTACTAGGTTTAAGATGCTGAAATTAAAGCAAAACAAACCTCGAACTAATTAGAGAATCTTTTCGGGCACGTGGAGTCCGGTGCTGAAGCCAGCGGTGGTACCTTCTCTGTTTGCAAAAGACGAGCGCAGAGCTGGTGAAGCAGCCGTTGCCCCAGAGCAGGAGCTGACTTACGCCTAAACCTTTCCTGCATCCGAGCATGTGAATAGTTCGGCTGAAATCAGTGAAAAGAAAGTCTGCTTAAAGGATATGTTTATAGGGACAACAGGCTGAGGATTGCAGTGACCTGGCTCGGTTAAAAACAAACAAAAAACCGGTTGTGGTATTACAACAATCTGAATATAAGTTAAAGTAAATGCTACTTCTTGCATACAACCGAGCTTGGAGATAAATCTCCATGTTTTTATAATAAATGTTACTTTATGGCAATCACCATATGCTACATCTAGTCCTGTTTTGAGTATAAATCATAACAAGTGTGTATCCTGAAATGCTTTATTGTCTTTTTATGGCCACATACGGCTGCTGTTCCTTCCATTTGTGATTAATTTTTTTAATGGTTCCCCCTAGAACCTAAAAAATAATTAAAACTAATGAATACTCTGCAGCGACAGTAAAGGAATGAGCATATTGCATCTATTCTCACTTCCCAGATCTGATCAAAAGCAAGTGTCGAGCTGTGAAGTTGTGACACTGACATTTTGTACTGAGCTTCCGACCACCTCCTGAGACCAAACGATGACTTTGGGGAAGATCATGAATTAGAGTTTTCATTGCTTCACAGGAATAGCGCTGAGAGGGTAGAATTAAAATTAGTTGAAATCACAATGTTTATTTCTTAGTGGAGTCTTTTCAAGAAATTAACCTAACTTGTAAAAGACTTTAAGACGAACAGCTTTTTTATTCCCTTGTCCTTGCCCCTGGCTTCAAGATGTGATATATTCTACGTACTAGGACTGGCCAGACTATTTGTTTCAACCAGATCTTATTAAGAGTGCAGCCCCTTTTCATTTAAAAACCTGCAAGCCATACACGTGTTTGTATATCCAGGTTGGTGTAACTTGTTCAGGGAGATGCAGCTCCTGAAAGTCAGCGGGAGGCAGCTGCTAACCCCCACACCTCTGACAGTCCTGCCCTGTCAGAGCATCTCCGGTGCTACAATTAATGTGAACCTGGACTCAAAATCCAGAGCTGGGACTCAAAGCAAGAATGCTGCCTCGTAAACGTGGTTTTTATCTGCCCTCCAGAAACACGTGGGTTTGATTTTTTTTTTCCTTCTTCTCCAGTGCACTTGGTTTTTGAGCTTATGCATGTGTTTTGCATGGGAGCACAGCCAGCTTTCAGCACTTCTTAAAAACCTCTAAAATTCGCCTCTCAAAACTAGTATTTATCTGTGAAAGATGTAATTAAAGAGTGTGTGTGGGGGGGAGGTTGCTCTGCATGTACCTGCCACTCTCTGGACTGCCTGCAGCTCACAATGGCTTTGAAATGAAACTTAAGGGGAAAAATCGACAACGAAGTGCTAGACAGGGGTTAAAGTGTCATTACCACAGGAGGAAACCTTCAAAGATCCCATTCAGTGGGGGACTGGCCAGGGCTGCAGCCCGTGCAGACTGATGAAAAGCAAGCACCCCAGGCAGCTCTCTGCACGCTGTCACCTACCTTCTTTCATTCATATATATGCGTGCACATGAGCACACGGTGGTTTGAATTTATTGTGAATTTGGCATGTCTGTTTTGCAGGCCATGAGCGACATTGGCTTCGCCAAACTATCCCCTCCTTCTTCTTCGTGCCGGAGCAGACCCGCAGCCACGCAGCGGAGCAGGGTCTGGGCTCTGCAGCACCAGCCTTTCTGGCCCCTAGGCTTCTTGGCCAGTTACCAGTTACACCAATAAATACTGTTCTTCTGCTGGAACAGGTTTAGTTACAAAAACAAGCAGATAATGGATAATAAGAAAGTAACATCATCTGCATACCTGATGGGGGAATAAGTTACCCTACGTTTAAGAAGTCAGCGGTAGAGCCGTAAAATTGAATCCCAGCCTTCTGAGTTCCAGTTTGACATCTTAAGCTTGATACCATTGCTTACTCTTTTATGCCTTATGTTGATTCATTTCTGGATATAAGAGTTTTAACTATTTAAGTCAATTTGCTTTACAAGCAAGATAAAAACAGAGCTTTAGGAAAGCACTTTTTAATTTCCAAAGGTATTTGTTAATTGATTCCAAAGGGAGAACCAGTTATAGTTAAAAAACAGAAATGTGTAAGAACAAAGGGTCATTGAAGTCAATGTCAAGATACTGCCAGGTGGTCAAATATTACTGTCCTGACTCCTCTTTAAAAAAAACTTTGATGACCATAAAGTTGCCATTTTCTTTACTAGGGTCTCTGTGAGTTTCCCCCCGTACAGTTATACAGTATCATGAGTTAAAGTGAACCAAATCTAAACTGTTGTGGCATATAAAAACAGCAAACAAATGAAGGCAGCTTTTTTCCCTAACCCCCTGAGATTTATTCTGACAGTTTGCAACTAGATGAAATGGATAATGGAAGTCCCTTGTCACAATAACTCACTTTAATGTATTGTCAGATTAATAGACTGAGTTATCCACTCTTCCAAGGAGAAAAATGACTTGTGGTTTCAAATCATGCCCTTGCTCATGGCATCTGATCAAATTAACCAAACAGGCCAAATTTAGTCTCCCAGCAGAAGCCAGGCTTTTTATGCATTGCATCATAAAAATGAGGTTATTTCTTTATTTTTAATGCTGGCCAAATGATTTCCAATTGCCACAGCAACATCTGTCGGTGACTGCGCAGCTGATCGTGGGCACGATCCCGTACGGCGCCGTCCCACGCACCCCATTGGCTTGGCCTCGTCTTCCAGCGGGTGTCCAGAGATGGCGGCGCCGGCGGGGCGATGCACGTCCCCCGACCCGGGGAGGTCGGTCCTGCGTGTTCTCACCCCATCCCTCTGCAGCAGCGACTGCAGGCGGTGGCCTTTGGCTGAGCCAAGCGCCCAAGTGAAGGCATGCAGGTGAGCTCATTGAACTACTGCTTAAATAGGGTGATAAAAACCACTCTTAAAAGGACTGCAGGGCTGTATTTTCTGCTGCCTTAGATTGAAACGGAGGAGTGCAATTTTACAGCTGGTGGAAACTCGGCTTGCTGACTTTCTGCAGAGTTTGTAAAGCATTCTGCAGGATTTACCCTGGCTGGGGCACAAAATTATCTGCGAGAAGGCTCTCCCTGTCCTTCCAATTCCAGGGAGAAAGCATGTTAGACCATGTCTATTCGTACCTCTCTTGTCCTCCTGCTAAATAATCTCACAAGACGATTTCACTCTCTCTTCAAGGTCACGAGTTGGTTCAGAGTTATACACAGCAGAAAAAAAAGCCCTCGCTGGGATGTGTCCGGGCAGGGCATTCACGGGCTATAGGAGCTACAGCAAATCACTCAGGGAAAGGACAATTTCGGTATAAATGAAGCAGCCCCTTTTCCTGCCCTTGGCTGTGGTTTTTCGGCAGCGGGAATCACTGAGACGCAGGTGGACGTCCTGGCTGCGGGGTGCGTGCGAGGGCCCTTTGTGGCAGCGGGACTGGCAGCAGCAGTGACGCTGGCGGCTGGGGCTGCCCCGGCAGTGCTGTCCCCAGCTCCGGCAGTCCAGCATCGCACAGTGTACGGCCTACACCTCCGCGCGGCTGCTGTCGCGTCTTTATGTGGGGATGGTCGGGGGGGTTTTCAGGGGAGTTTTGGTATTCTGTTTTGCATGCTGTCAAAAAACAAACCTGAGTTTGCAGTCCGTCCATCTGTCGCACGTGGTGCTGCATTTAAGCAGCAGGGTCATTTATTAACGCATGTGGAGTGAATTATCCTGGTTTACATCTGGAGAGTGGCAAATTGTTGGATTTAATAGCTGTAAGCTCCTCTGATCTGCAATCACTGTCTGCTGGATTTTTTGATCTGACAAAGCATTGTGCGCAGTACTGCAAGGATCCTTCCCCAGCCTCTCCAGGGGAATCCTGCTGTCAGGCTGCAAATGTATGGTGCATGAAATGTGTAATTTTGAAGTCTAAACCTCTGAGAGCTCACGACACTCTGAGGCAGCAGTTTACCTTCAAAGTCGCCTCTCTGCCTGTACTTACCACCTCTTGTGATTTAGCACTACCGCTCACATTTCCTCCACAGAAACTTGTAAGGTTTGCTTCCCAAAAATCTCATCTTCTTCTCTTAATTAGGCATTTTCACACAATGAACCATATGGGAGTCAATGAAAAAGGTGTCGACGTGCAGCGCGGCCTGGCCCTGTGGATGCTGATTGATAAAGCTGGCAGATGGGTAGATCATCAGCTTTGAAGACTGGATTTTTAGTGAGATTTCCTCTGAAACCGTTGAATAAATAAGACAGGCAGAAGAACTAAGTGGCCGGGAGGATGTGCAGCGCGGCTCCTTCCTGCGTTACCAGAGGTTGCTCAGGTCAGTGGGGTTTCCACCTCAGCGTTTCCTTCTCTGTGATTTTTTTTTAAGCCTTTTCTACTAATGCCAGCTGCTGCTTATCCCCTAAATATGGCTGCATTTAAGTGGTTGCCCCTGAGGGGATGAAATGCTGCCCAGCTTGGTGCCTGAGCATGAAGTCAAAGTAAGTCAGCTTATCTCCATTGCGCTAGTTGTCTATAAACTGCTTCATACCGAAAGGTGATGAGACACAAGTTCATAAAGCATGGGAATTTTTAACTAGCTTAGTCTTTGCTTTCCTTTCCTGCTTCCCACCCTAGCTGATGTGCTGGGCCTCCTGTACACATCTCAGCTCACCATTTTCTATTTCCATTTGCTTGTTTTTCATTTCCCCCATCTCCTCTTCATTCTACTTCTCACGAAGCCTCCATCTTCCATTTCATCTTGTCTTTGCACATCTCCATCTTCCATTTTCTTCAAGAACGTAGACGCTGTGACGCTATTTTGGACTTTTCCTTGCAAAGTAACCCAAAATTGTTTCAGAGATTTGGTCTGTGATCTGAATTCCTGTGTGAAATCCTACATGCATTGAATTAAAGAAACACTTGAAGAGCCCATGGTCAAAAGCCGGTTTGTGTTGAGTGCTGTCCCACACCAGGCTCTTGGAAAAATATCTTCTCCTCCGAAATGTGTAGGCTGTTGTGTCATTTCTGTAAAAGTTCCCCTAAAACTGTTAATTCCCAGGAACACTGGGAAGCATTCCCCATGTGGCTGTGTGGAAATTGAAACCCATGGCATAAAGAGTGACGGAAACATTTGTGTGACCCTCCCTTGAGTAGCAAAATTGCTGAGCACAGCAATGTGCATATGCCTGAAGCACACGGGAGCTTTTTTATTTTAAACTGTAACAATGAAATAGGAAAAAAAGCCCAGTGAAGCAAAAGCTCCTGCCTTTTTAGTTTTGCTCTTAACATGTAAAAATAGAAGCACCTGCTGCCTGCTGGGCTCGTTAAATTTGTCTTTTTATTTTCATAAATCACCACGGTAGAATTTGAATTATTTACTCGGTAAACTCGAGGCTACATTAATTTTCATTCTCCAATTTTTTGTAACCAATTTTTTTGTGCGTTAGCTTTGGAGCTGTTTCCCACCCACCTTTTGTTCAGTGCCCACCTTGGCTTCCCGAGCAGGGTTCCCTCCCCTTGGTGACTGCAGGGGTTTGGTGAACTTCAAAAGCAGCCTGAAATGTCAGCCACACGCAGCCTTTCTGCAGCCACTAAATTATGGATCAGGATACAGCAGATCAAACAGTTCAGAATTATTCACTTGTGGGTCTTTGCTTGGTAAAGCAATAAAAATCTCTGCATTTCTTCTTTGGTAATATGTGGGGTGGTTGTTTTACATGCTCAAGAGTAATGTTATCAGGGGTATGGGAGTGTGTATGTAATATTTTTTTTTAAGCGAGGCACTTCAATCAAAGCTTCATTCTACTGTAAACCCAATTAGCTTCAGTCTGCCAAGTCAGCTTGACTGTCTGCAAGAATGTATGTAAGGCAATGAATAATTGCTAAACTCGGTTTTCTTTCTATCTAAGAAATGCCATGAGGCTTTTGTTACCTCTAGATAAACCCTCTGCACTTGTCTCTGAGGTTACAGCTGAAGACACCCGTTCAACAATCTTAAATGTGTTTGAATAGTATTCTGTGTGTGAAGAGGCTCAGTAAAAGCAAGTGCTTTCTTTGCTTTGGAGCAGAAGGTTGCTGAACCCAGATCCTGGGTTCCTCCAAACGCTCAGGGATTTTGCCATTATCTTTAGTGGGAGCGGGACTGAGAATTTGCATAGTTTTATTGCATGTGGCTGCAGAATAAGCCCATTACTGTCGGAAAACAGTAGCAGGGCTGTCCCCTGCGTCATACGAGAGGAAAGGTTAGAAAATTAAATTCTCCAACAATACGTGTGGAAAATGGGTCACCTACTTTGTGCGAGGAAGCGCACAGGATGCTCTCGCTGTATTTTTATATGCCGCGTGCTGGTTTCTAGCAGTTTGGACATGGTTTCACAGCCGGGACGATATCATGTGAGAATATCCGGCTGTGCTGGCGTATGGGGTGCTGGTTAATGGACACCCCGGCTTGGGTCAGCCAGCGGGCTGGGCTGTTAGGGATGATATCGGAGACGTCCATGGGACTCAGCTGCACAGCCCACCCAAACCCACACAGAGGGGTGCGACATGCAGGGAGCCGTTGGCATCACCTGCTGTAAATTGCTCCCAGGGCTCCTTCCCGTCACTAAGGTATGTGCTGTAGATCCTCTTGCTTTTGGCCAGTTGGCGAATATAGGATGTATTTCCAAAGATAAGAAAGGTTGGCCATGTTGATATAGTCGGTTGGTTTAAATAGAACAAGACTTCCCCATCTGCAGTGGGTTCCCCCTTAAATATTTACTTGTCTTTCCACCGTGCATGCATAATATCTCTATTTTTCCCTCTCCATCTGTAGGCCACCTAAAGAGTTGTCGGAGGATGGTGAGTCATCCACCTAACTTGAGTTGAGAGTCCCCTTCTCATTTTTGAAATGGGACCGTGATTTCTGTTAGCGTCCCTCAGGGATGGTCATATTCCGACGACATCTTGAAGACTCTCCAACTGTTTTCTTTCCCCAAAAAATTTTTTTTAAATTTATTTTCCTTCAAGCCTAAGGTTCAGAAAGGGATACGATACTCCGTGTGATGGCCGTTGGTGGTGAGCTGTGTGACAAGATTTCGATGCTTCAGGGAAAAGGTTGGCTGTTTTGCAGGATTTGAAAATGTTCAGATTTTTGTTACTTAAGTGTTAAATGATGTGTATTTACACTGACACACACATATAGGCAGCATTTTTTTTCCCAGGTATGGCATTATATAAAGCATCACAACATTAGTCCGTTTGTCTTTTGTAATGTCTGCCAAAAGTAATATGTTTGCGCTAAGATTGAAAAATTTAGATATGAAAATATTTCCAGTGCTACAGGGGAAGATATGATTTTGACTAATTTTATTGCAGCAGGTACATAAGTGAAGGCCTGTTCTGACAACTATGAACTAAGTTGCACAAAGTAGGAGTGACAGCGTGATTCCCAGCAGCAGAAGTCAGTGCCACACTGGATTGTCACAGCTCCAGCTTCCCTTATCCTACACGAATGACGGTGGTGTGTATTATCCCCTGTACACAGGGATCTGTCAACAACTACTTTCTCAAATACTTCTAGTGTGTATGTGGGGGTGGCACGGAGGAGCAGGTGATACCTCATAATAGTACATTATCAACAGGGGAAGGTTTCATTTTCTTTAAATAGGAACCATGTCTGAATAGCTGCAAGACTCCCAGACACTGTGAAATCCAGAGGGAAATTTTAGGCTTAGCTCTTTCTGTGGGATTACCTAAAAAACACACGTACATCCCATCTTTTGAAAAATGTACTGATGGACTGATGACTACTGCTCTTAGATCTGGGTGTGAACAACAAAATAGAGCCCAAGAAGACTGGGTGGTCCTCTAGTGACTCTTCCGAGCAGTGTAAAGCACCATTTAGTGTATAGGAATAGGGGGGCAGCCCTCAAAAACAGCCGTCAGAGGAGTTTCAGTCGATGGAGGACTTGTCCCAGGCAGCTCTTGCTCAGTAGTTGTTTGTTGCTGTTAGGGAATTAAAAACACAGGCTAACGTGATGAGCAGTAATTCAGCATCATGATTCAGTTGGATCCTGCCAGTGCTTGAGGACACGACCACAGCAATGTTTGCGCCGTCAGTCCTTGGATCCTCGCTTCTTGCCCGGCAGACCTCGTCACTTCTTTTTTGCCCCGAGGCTCTTCAGAGCACCCGCTGTTCATGTTGGTCCCGGTGGCATCCGAGTAGGTGTGATTCATCTGGAAAGAAATAATAAATGTATTAAACTTGGTAGTTTCTATGTATTGAGAAACACTATTGTTACATGAGGGTTTTTTTTTTGTTTGGTGTGGATGCAAGCTATTTTAACTAAAAGAGGAGGAACGTCAGCCTCCCCTCGCGAGCTATCAAGAGTGGCAAAAATTGTCAAAGTGCTACGTCGGGGGGTACAGAAAAATGGTCATGCTGCTTCTTCCCTATTTCATTAGTCACCGGTTTGGTATGTTCGTTACCAAAGGACATTGTCACAAATCGTATTTTGTCCTGGCTGATTATGCTGTTTACTAAAATGTCAATGATAGCGCGTAAAACACAGCTGAGAAATTAGGGATCATTTCAGGAGCTATTAATGAACTACAGCCTTGCTTAGCTGATAGAGTCTTCAGAGAAAGGAAAGATGAAGAGATTTTGTCTTTTTCAGTCTTTATACTCCTTGTAACAGTACTGTTATCGATCAGGTGCAAGGGAAGTTTTACTCCCATTTATTTTAATTTCTGACTGCTTGGCTGATTACGGAGTCTCTGTGTGCAAACTCCGTGCACCTCAGCTGAGATGCTCCGGGCACGCATCCAGGGAAGCCGACGGGAGCCCGGCCAGGGCCGGCTGCTCCGAGCCACGGAAAGAGCTGCGCAGAGGCAGCCTGCGGCAGCGCACAGCCATGGGTCGTACTGCTCTGCAAAACCCAGCAGCAGGGCTCCATCTCCTTCAGCTTTTTTTCGAGGCCTTTTACTTATTCCCTGTTTACATGTCACGGCTTAGGATGAGTTTTTATAACTTTTTGCTATTGCAAAGATACTAGGAGCCTAACTCAAGTTGGGCTTTGTGGTGGGAATTGGTGGGATGCACGTCTCGGCAGAATTTAGCACGCTTATCTCAGCATTTTGTAACTGAAGAGAGCTCTGGAATGGAAGAACATGTGGAAGCTATTTTAGAAGATTTATATGTACATACATATATGGTGCTTTAAATGCAATTAGGGAGATTCAGCTAAAGGTTTTACATTAGCTCATTAAAGCATGGCAGCTGTAACTGATCCTCCCGGCAACGAACTGCAGTTTGCTAAATGAGGAGAGGCTGCATAGCTGCCCTGCTCCTGGCCATGTGTTGGGGCTGGAGTATTCCAGGATGGGATGGCAGACGGGCTCCCGCAAGGAATCCGAGAAATTTCCTCAGATGGATTTAGCAGCACGATATTCGATATAATCAATATATAGAATATTGTTGTTGTTTCTAGTCCAACAAATGACTCGAGCAGAGGGAGCACAGCACATGCAGCCACAGATTTGTGTGGAGGAATTCTGGCAACTGGACCGACAATTGTAGCCAAAGAACAAAGTGTGGATTTTTCACTTCATTTGAATGTTCAAGCATGTGCTGTAATTTTTTGATTCATTAGAAGTGATATGGAGGTACTCTGCAGTATGCAAAACCTCTGCGTGCTGCTCCAGGCTTTGTCTGCAGCATCCACAGTCCTCTTGTGAGGCAGAACTTATGTGCACCTCATAAATGGAAATATCGAGACAGCTTGGAGCTCTCGGAGAGCCTTTGGGGCTGCGGCAGTGGTACCAGGGTGGTTAGGCGGGGCGGTTGGCTCTGCAGGAACCCTGAGTCATGGGAGAGCCGAATTCAACAGAGCCCACAGGAGTGCTTCAACTTGGGCAGTGGCCTGGCCCTGCCAGTCCTCAGGGCCATCCGAGTGGAACAGACACACTTTGGCCACTCGTCACTTTTTGATGGCTCAGCTCCGCTCAGCTGCAGCTTGGAGCCAATTAATTTTATGAATCCTATTTGTAGCTCGTGTTCCTCCTTATATAATCCTCATTTGTTTCAAATGAGCAGAGAGTGTGCCCCTGAGATTCTAAACATACCTCTTTATTAAACTTTAAACAGAAATTGCTACCTACAGAAGCTAAACTTAGCACTAATGTATGAAATGAGATGAAGAGAATCCTTTTAAATCTCCTACCAGGTGTTAGATAACGCAGCACTGTAAAGAGAGGGGGAGAAGGTGACTGCATAGTGTTACGAACATCGGCATTACTGATCTATTGTATTTATTTCTCCAGTAAGCAGAAGTAGATTAAAAATAAAAATGCAGAAGTTAATTGGGTGATTGCACCACAATCGGTCTTTGCTTTTGTTCTCCGCTCCCCGTGAAGCCGTGCACTGCTGGAGTGACAGTTGTGAATAACAGCACGCAGCTGGGGCAGCGTCTTTCTTACCAGCTGCATCAAACACAGGGAATGAAAACAATTTTAATGAAGCCTTGTCCCATTAAAATCTCGGGGAGCGAGCAGCCCGCGGTGGCCGGGCTGGAGCGATCCTGCCGGCTCCTTCCCACCGTCCTGCCGGGGGTGCGAGCCCAGCAGAACGGGCCTCTCATCTCCTCGCTGGCCTCCATCTGCCCTCAGGAGGGGCTTGGAGAGTGTTCCGAGAGCAGTTTTACAGCTGATAAAGGTAATCAGAAATTGTGTTATCGCTGCTTTGCCACACAACACAATGTCTCTCACGCTGCTGAGGTTGCTGGATGCCCGAGTCGGGATATCTGTCTCACCTGCCAGCTCCGAGATTCCTTTTGCAGGCTTGTGGTTCATCTTCCAAGGATATTCCCGTACAACCCGAAGCAGGAGAGAAACCAGATTGTTTAAAGTATTGAAGGTTTTAAGGAGCCAAACTGAAAAATGTTCAGCTTTTCTAATAAGCACATGGTTAAAGAGCACAAGCAGGAGAGAAAGGCAGCAGCCACTTCACGAAACACTGGCTTTCATGGCCATCATGGCCATGGCATACCTCTCTGAAATCACTGGAAGTTAATTCTGCCTCAGAGTGATAGATTGCTTTGAGATCTCAGTAGAATTTTTCTCCAAATTGTGAATTGGATAAGGTTCTTACAAATTATGAAAGCCCTAGACTCAATGCACATTAATTTTCTAGCCTATTTTCTAGGCCATTGTGGCAGCAATAAACAGAAATTAAGAAGATCAGACGTTATCTGTGGGCTCTCCACAGGGAGAAGCAGGGCTGGGAAGAACCGGTGGTGTGGGGGAGCTGGGGCTCCCCCCGGGCACAGGTCTGGGGGAAGGGACTTTCTTTTAGGAGTTTTTGGAGATCTGCTTTAGCAAGGTGTTTTCTGCCCTTTCTCCCGTCCAATTTAAAGCTGGCTGTATGTGTGTAGAAGGCAAATTCCCTACCACCATGAGCAGCTCTCCCTGCAAAAATTGTTAAGGCGAATTAAGTCGCAGGAGTATATATGAGAAAAGATTTGCTTTTCCTCTAAGGAATACTAGGATATTTGTCAATTCCTCTCTATCAGAAACCTAACACATTCAGAGGTAAAGATGAAAAGTGAAAAAACCATGAAGATCAGATGAAAGGACGGAAATTATCATTCAGGTAACCCAGCTACCTTAACACTGTCACCATGGAGATCCCCGATTATCTTCTGCTCTTTGCATGCAAAGTGCTGAGAAACACTGTTTTCATAATTGGCATCATATTTCTCTGGGTATATTAAGCTCGCCTGTGGAATAATGCTCATCAGGTCCTGAATGATTTCAGATAACTAGCAGTAATATATTGAATCAGATGATTCGATATTATGATTTCCAGTCCAGGGATCACTCAATGTGTTTCCATGCACAGTGTGCAAGCACGGAGATGACTGTCACTGTGCTGGGGGTGAAGTTGAGGCATTCTGGGGTTTGTGGCTACTGAGAAGAAAACTGTGGGTTTGACTGATGAATAAAGTAGCATAACATGCTGCTGTGGCCTGCTCTACGTTCCTTGTATTTTCAAATTTCTGTACTCCGACTCTGATTTTCCTGGGTTTCTGACTTGGAAGAAATCTTCCCCCTGCAGTACGTGCTCAGACGGCTGTGTGGGCCCAGCCTTAACTTTTTCTTTTTTTCTTTTTTTTTTTTTCATATGTCAATACATGTGGCCTCAAACAAATTTTTTACACGAGCAATACGATTAGACTTAGCTTTTCAGATTCTTTATAATCTGCCTTCAATGCATTAAGTAGCTGTCTTCGATGAATTCAGCTGGTGCGTTTCCTCCTCTTCCCAATCAGCACGTTTCAGGGTTGACAGCAGAGAGGCGTCACGTTTGTGGCTGTAGCTTTAAATGAAGTCAAAATTTGTCTTTTATCCTCTTGTGTCCCTAAAACAATTTAATCGTACTGTAATTATTAGCATTCTCATTAAGAACAGTTTAGCTAAAAATCAAGACACAAAGATGCAGTGACTTCATCAAAGCAATGCAAATCCAGATAAAGCTAGGTTTCTAATTCGACTTGTATGCTTTGAAATAAATCCTCACAGCATCAGTTACTGTATCTGTTGTAAAGCAATTACTATCAGCCTCCAATGCTCCCCTTTACACATTTTAATGATTATTTTTGCTTTAAAAGGTAGGGTAAGTAATATTACAGTTCCTCAAGAAGAACTAAAGCAGAGAACAACAAAAAATTTCTGTAAAAGCAGAAATTGCTTTCTTTCGTAATCAGGTTGATTAGACTCATGTATAATCATACACAGCAGGTGGGAAGATTAACATTTCACTAATTCCTAGTGGTCATTACTGCAAGGAAATTTAATCTGCAGAGTTCACAAGGATTGGAGTTGCATGCTGGTAAAGCTCATTTAAAAGACAGAGCAAAAGCAACGCAACTTTATATTCTGGAAGCCAGTTTTCCTCAAAACTATTTTGGCCTGCAGGCAATACGCATACACCCAGTATATTCTACTTAATTAAAAAGTAGATTTGTATTGATCATGACCACTTGACAAGCACGTTCAGAACCCGTGCCTGTTGTCAGTTACTTTGGTGGGGAATATGGGCAGACCCTCAGCGGCTTAAGCTGGTTGATAAAATAGATATTTTTACAGCAAGTGTATTTTTTCCATGCGGGGAGCTGTACTGGTACACAGCACTAATAGATTCAGTTCTCATATTTGGATCAATTCAGAATAATTCTGCTGAAGTTGAACAAGTTCTTCATTTTTTTATATGAAAACAAAATATGACATAATTATTATGATCAGATTCCGCTTCACTAACCAGGACATGTTTTTTTTTTAATTCAAAACTCCAAAATAAAATGCCCTGCAACTTCCGATGTGAAAGTCATGGTCGTCTGCTACTCCTGCACCTACACCTCTAATCTCTGGACTTCTTTCTTCTAGTTTCTACCAGCAGGAGACTTTCCATCGACATCCAGTGGTACAGCCCAGGGTGGTCTGTGACTAAGCTGGAAATGCGTGAAATGCTGGATATTGGATGGGTAAGTAGGGATGATTACTCTGCTTTTTCACTCATGTGGGGTCTAGCTGAGATTTAGCTGTGTTTTCTGTCTCCCATGAGCAAGAGCAAAGGGAGATGAAAGAGCAAAAAGGAAGACAGCGGTCACTAGTTGAAGTTGCTTTGAAGACATCTCCTAAAAAAGCATCTCATCCCATTCATACCCACTGAAAAACCTTTTGCATCCGTCTCGGAACATTGCCCTCACGAGGAATGGGGAGGTGGGACCTGCACCGAATCCATGAAGCCGTGTTGCCCTTCCTGTGCTGCTGCGGACCAAGGAGGCCTTAGGGACAAGAGGTAAGGTGCCACCGTGGGGCAGAGCTGGCTTGGCTCGACGGTTGTCCCTCCAGCAGGAGCCTGTGTTGCCGGTCTGCATGGAGGGTTTCCTCTGGTCCCCCTCTAAATACCAGGACTGCAGCGACTCTCCTGTTGACTTGGTTGGGTGTATTAGGCTCATTTTCTTACCTAATGCTTTAAGGGCAAAAGCACGCTCCTTTGCTCTATGTAGTTAAAAATATAGTTGAGCTATATTGTTAAAAAAATTATAAAAAATGACCAGATGGCACAGTAGCTGGATTTGGCTGGGTTGGAACAGGGTATTATTCCAACACAGATAACAACGTATCCCTCCAAATAAAAGAAGTGACCACTGAGCATATGTTTTATTAGAGTTTTATTGAACATCAGAGATTTTTACTGTGATAATTAGGATGATATTACAGTGATATAATGCCAGAGTCCCTTATCCACAGACAGCTTCAGTGAGTCTGAGCCCCGGTGGGACTGGTGACGCTTTCTTGTCCCTTGCAGGCCCATGGACTCACACGAAAATGTGGCTGAAGGCTCAAACCTCTGGCCCAGCCCTGCTGCTCTGCCAAAGTTATGCTAAGCTCAGGATCACTGAAGTTGTAATGGGGGTCAACAAAATCAGAATAAACTCCTGCTATTGCAAGAGTTACTTCCACTAGTTTTTCAAACTCTGGGTGCAGAATAACAGCCACAAAATCTGCAGCATGAATCAAAGCAAGTTAAGTGCAGCTAAACTAGGTTGATAGTGGTGTAGATGATGGTTTAAAAACCAGGAACAGCTAAAAATATGACTGCACTGATGTTAATGCGGTATTAGCCTGATAAAGGGACTGATTTTTGTCAGTCAGTCTTCAATCAGTGTCTGTCTCAACCCTCAAATGCAGCCTACTCTTCTTTGAAAAGATACCATCTGAGCTTAGCAGTCTGGTTTAGTCGTGGCCAAAACACAAAGTAATGCATTCAAATAATTGGGTGTGTGCACAGTACTTAACCCTCACAGCTATTCATAGTTTGAAAATGTTACTGGGACTTAAGTGATGGAGTCGCCCAGCAGAGCTGTAGGGTTTGCCCCTGCGAGGTGCCAGGTAAGCACCTGTGGGAGAATTTACATCCCCCGTAAAATTAGGTAGCTTGAACCCATGATGGTGGCTCAGGGGTGAAATGGTGGGGTGACCCGCCTGGACTAATGGGGTGCCCTGACCCACCACGGGGGGATGGTTCCCTCACTCCTGCCCTCCACAGTCCGGCATCCAGACTCGGTGCCCAAAGTTAGGTATGTCCCATCTTCGGGATAAAAAAAAGTTAGACAGGAGCCTTGTGGGATCCGGGAGAACGCAAGGGATGAGCGAACAGGAAGACGTCAAGGGACTGTCACTAGCAAAGATAACAAAACTAACAAGTAAATGAAAAGGCAAGTTATAACATCAATATGCACGGTAATAAGTCACAATGAATCACCAGAGATCTGTTGCTTTAATGATGCTGTCGTAAAAATGATGGCCCTGAGCTATTTCAGACCACGTATACTGAATTTTGGCTGATGCTTATCGGTTTATATGCAAGGAAATGTATAGCATGCAACCTAAATGAAACAGTCCTTTGGACAAGAAGAAATGGATTGCAGGTGCAAACAAGCATGAAATGAAAATCTACTAATGAGTTTCCATTAGTAGCTAAATACATAATCAAATAATTTTTAGCCAACATAGAGCAATGAGAAAATCAATTTATTCCTCGTAAGTACTGCTATATGGATTGATGCTCTAGTACTTCTAAAGCTGGTTTTGTTAAGTGAAAGCTGAGCTTCAGATTCAGTTAAAACTCAGCTAATAGCAGCAGAACATGGGTTTGCGTTTACTGAATATGAATGGAATATATTTTCTTTGGAAACCCTAAATAACATAAGGTAAAATGAGGTCTTAGTTAATATGGAGTATTTCCATCTGAACGCTAGAGACGAAAATGTTTCAGAAAGATGGACTAGCACTGGCACATCTGAATTGACTTGCGAATCTCCATTAATGAAGTAAGCATTGTTCTTCATCTGCCCTTGAAGCAATGGTATCCTCAGTTTCCTTTCTTTTTGCCTTAAACAGTCTCTAACCTGAGTTTCGTTTGCACGGTGTTTTCACACCTTATTCAGCTATGGTAAATATTTCTCCTTCATCTATGGAGGCCCTGATTTCAAGGCTCTCACAGCCATATACATGAACAAAACAGCTTTGACAAGCTGGTTGGAAAGCGTTGGTGAGGATCCTGCAGCAGAAGACACGCTTTGGTGTTAAAGAGGCACCACTTCAGCACCATGCGTGAGGACGGCAAGACTGTTTTTGCAGTTACTGCACGTGAATGAAATTTATACCGAGAAGCTGGCTGATATGTACAGTACAAATAATCTAATGTTTCTTCCAGGCCAGATTCTTCACCTTTACTTCCAGCGAGGTACGTGTCCCAAGGACCTCACGGGGCTACTCGTGGAGGAAATACCGTTCCACAAAGTGGAGCTCAGATGGGCATGATTTGGCCTCCACCGTCCGGTGGTTTTAACTATAGAGAGGTAGGTGGGCTTCTACTTCATCCCCTTAGAAGCACGACCCTGTGAGCTAAAAGCACTCGGTACTTTTCAGAGCAAGATACTGAAATCAAGAGGAATTTTAAATGGGATAGGCTTGGAGACCGACATTAATCACAACATTTTAAGGCTCAATAGTTTATGAGTCAATGTATGCGTAATATTTACCAAACCAGAAGTCAAAGGAAATAATAATAATAGAGAAGGAGAAAACCAAACACTTCTTAGCACCTTTTTTCAAGGAGGAATTCATTGTGATAGCTCGGCCTTATTAAGTTGTTAAAACACCGATTGATACGACGGGGATCCTAGATCAGAAGTAGTTACTTGATTGGGGCAGATTTTAGTGGACATTATTTCTCAGTGGATCTTATACGTGGAAGTTGAAGCTTATAATAAGCTGAAAAACAAATGGACTTAATTTGACATGTAATACTTCTAGACAAGCTTTCAATAAATGCATGGCTGCATATAAATCTCCTATTTTAGCATGACAAATATATCCCCTCATAACAGAAACTTCAGCAAACTCTGAATGGAAATGTTCTGGCTGCTGGCAGTCCAAATGAGGAAGAGGCTGGAGCACAATCAAGCTAATCACCGCATTAAATACCTCATGTTTGGTGACCAGCTCTTGCACGCTGATAGCACCTTGCTCCACAAACGGCCGTGTTGAATTCGATGGAGTGACAGCTTGTATTCACACAGCGCTTTGCATTTGACGGGATCCCTAGAGGATTTGCAAATTTGTCAAACTGAAATATAGTCCATTCGCTACCGAAGTCAGCTTCCTCTGGCGTGGAACGCACATAACTCTGCAAGACAACTGTGTAGAGCAGGGAGTGATGAACAACGCGCTATGGAAGCTCTGAAGGAGAATTGGGGCAGGTGCAGTGCAATGATCTAACTTGACATTTGATAGGAACGTGGGAGTTTTTACAAGCCAATTTCTGAAAAATACAATGTGGCATCTCTCACGTATTCAGAATTTCAGGTGTGGGTTTCTTCTGAAAGCAGAGCCTCTAGCTTTAGGCACCTGTCAGATCCGCTGGCTGTAAGGCAGGGGGGAAAAATTCTCTTTTGACCCCCAAAAAAGGTGTATGAGAAGTGAATAAATGCTACATTTCCAATATTAAAGAGCTTACTGCCTTTAGTCTTGATCATACCACTGCCACAGAGTATGGCTTCATCAGAAAATGGTGATGGTAGCGAGAACGTGGGGTCTCCCGGTGGGCTGCTGCCTGTGGCCGCGTGTCTTCCATATAATCCTTATCCTCTCATTGCCGCTGCCGCCTCCTTTGCCCACATACAGATGTGCAAAGATGGATATAAAGGTAATTCTCAAATCCATGGAGATTGCCATTCTCAGGCTCACACTCGGGATATTTCCTATTGAATTACTGTAACTTACTGCAGAACAAATGCCTGATAGAAAAGCATCAGGAAAGACATCTTTTTTAATGGTCTTTACCAGTTATTATTGTAGCAATGATGGCTTTCAGGGAACTGGAGATGGCTCTGTCAGAGGTGGTAATGGTACTTCTGAGCTGTTGATTACCTCCACATTGTGCCATTTCACCACATTTGATAAAGTCATCTCCGTTCTCTGAAAGCCATCGGTGACTCAGTGATAATGCAAAAATTAGATTGGATTCCAGGTGCTTTCTCTGGCATCCTGTGTTCAAAACGGGATGTCCCCGTGCCGTACAGAGTGAGATGATTTCTTTACAAAGATGCAATATAAAACACACTTGAAAATACCTTGTTTTCATAAGAAGCTGTTTGTATCTGTGATTTTTAAACCAAAGTGAGATATAAATTATTGGACACTATCTGGCTATGGCTGAAATTTCTGAGGCTCGTTTGACTCGATTTGCCTGAGAAAATGCCTGCATTTTGGACCCAGGCTAATGGCAGTTTCCCATTGACTCCCGTTGGCATTGTATCGAACCTTAGTGTGCTCTACAGCAGGCAAACGAGAAAACAAAGTATTTCTGTGACTTTCTCCAGAACTGTGAATGCTGGGGTAATTTGGAGATACTTGCAAGGTCTCCCCGAATGTGCCTGCGTGGATGCTATGTGCAGGTGAGTGATGAGAGACACACAAGAAAGCGAAAATATTAGTTAGTTCCCAAGTAAGTTCCATCAAAGCGTTAATAATGTCTATGCAGCCTGTCTAGCCCCACCTTGGAGAGACAGCTAAAGTGTATCTTCCTTCCCATCTTCCTCTAAAACTCTAAATGAGAAACAAATAAAATTTTTGTAACCTTACACAACCACTGCCATAACCCTATGTATCAGCCAGCATCCTTTATCTCTCACCGGCTGGAAATCTCGCATTTTCATTGCCCTGAATCACCAGATGCATTCATCAAACATGACAAATGCCTCCAAAACACTAAATCACACCGCTCGATCTCAATGGGCTACATAATCATTGTCATACCGACAATAAATTTCAAAATATCTGTGTTCCAGACTCAAATACCTGCAGCTCGTACCAGGACTGAGAAACTGCAGGGGGAAAACTGAATCCTAAATTAAGTTTAAAAGCTCTTCGGTCCCTCAAAAATTTGATAAACTCATGAATCCTTGAGGCTTTCTGATTTATTTTTAGAAAAAAGTATTTTTTTCTACCCACAGGAATGTTTCATGGAGTAAGAGACGTTTTCCAAGAATAAGGTTGTATCTTAGTAAGTACAAAAACGTAGAAGGGAAAAGCTCTGCTCTCCTGGGGAGTTGCCAGTTTGCGGTCCTGCCCATGCATGGCTCCCTGATGCTCCTGTGTCCCAGAGGACCCGCACCTGCCCGAGGGTGGCATTGTACGGGGCTGGCAATGCCTCTACAGCTTCCAAGGGGCGAGAAATGCATCAGAGCATCCTCCTCCTTGCTCTGTTTGAGGGGACCCTGCACCCGAAAGGCACTGGCAGGAAAACGCTGAAGTCATCGCAGGTCAAACTTTTGGTATCGCTCAAAAAAAAGGAGAAGTTGGGCTATGGACGCATGAGCAAATTGCCCTAAGGCTCCCATATATCAACTGACCTGTGAGAACCACGTCTTTTCTGCAGTGGAAGCCAGGCAATGCAAGGTAACTTGATAACCTTAATTAAAGAGATTCTCATTTTCTTTGGAGTGGGTTGAGGCTAGCAAAGCGGTACTACCTCAGATAACCTTATTTTATCCAGGAGCACACACAGGCAGATTATAGCTCACTATACAGTAAACTGTTTTTACTTCCATGGAGCCAGTTCTCCATGGTCAGAGTGTTTAAACAGACGTTTTAAAATGAGTTCCGTAGAAGATGCACGAATGTAAACTTTTCCTCCTTAATGTTTATAACCCAAATTCAAAAGCCTTGTGTTTGTATGTAGGATTGCAACATGGACATGTAAGAAGTCTTTGTTTTCAGTCCATACATGAATCTTTAATTTTCTAAAGTATATTTATATACACGTATGTGCATATACAAAGACATGGTCACAAAAGCAAGCATACCATTTGCTGCTGTGCAGTCATATGGCGTTTTCTTAGATCTCTGCTGAGTGCTATTTATTGCATTTTTAATTTTAAGTCAGGTCAAAAAAGAGACTTGCCTGGGATTTTTCACTGTGTTTTTGCCACCCAGTTCCCACTAAAGCTGAGTGAGGAATTTTGCTGTAAAAAAAGATGCTGATTTTGCAAGAAAGCAAAACCTGTGCTGACATCAGTGGGAGTTGTGTATCCGGAATGATTAAAGACCAAAGCCACTGATATGACTGCATGGTATTAGCCTGGGATCTGGGAAATGAGTACTCTTTGCTCTGCAACTGTATCTTCTTAATAAAGAGCAACTTAAGATGACCGAAAACCCAATCCTGCTGATCATCTGCACCACGAACTTCTAAATTCATCTCCTGGCAGCTGCCCAGTTTGACCTTGAAAGCTGTGATGAGCATCTAGGTAAGAGGGAAGGTCTCCAGCCCGTCCTCACCTCCAAGCCTTTTCTCCTCAATACACCTGGCATGATGGGCCAGACTGTCCACCGGCAGCAACAACCTCGTCCTCTCCTCCGGGCTCCCAGGTCCTCGCTGTGTTGCTTCTTCCACGGCTCCTCGGGCGAGCTGAGCTCCCAGGGAGACCCACTGCAAGAAGAGCTTTCTCAGGTACTATGGTAAGAAGGATCTATTAAATTGCTATGGCCATAGATAAATTCCACTACTATTTTTTCCCCAAACATCACCTGATTTACTTCAGTGATAAGTCCAATGTTCTGTATAAACATTTATTTCCTTGACAACCTAGTTTTCCATTAGAACAATGCCCAAACCTGGGACCTATTATGGCAATTGACAGGTGAGAGTTCAGCTTGTGCGGGCTCAGGCTGTTTAGCATAGCTACTCCAGCACTGAGAAAATGGCATGTGTCACAAACCCACAACTGCCTTATTATACTGCGAGAGCCACAGGGGATGCACATGGTGACAGGGAAGCCAGGTTCTTTTCAGCTTATTCAGAGTGTTAACAGGGCCGAGATTAAAATATCTGAAATGTTTTTCAGTGGTAAGGACTCTCTAAGTAATGATTCTTGCAGACTAATTGCCCCCAAAACAATTTTTAACCCACTGTTTGATACAGTTTTACCTGTCAAGCTAAAGAGAGGTGTCAGAAAGTTAAACCTGTTTGCAAAAGGCTTATTTGATGTGAAAAGCAGCCAGGAGCCTGGCAGGAGAGGCTTTTCCCAGCTGAGAATTACAAAAGAACATCTTCATTTTAGAGACAAGTTCAGAGGTAAGCATGTAAAACAGCCAGGCACGGTACCACGATCAGCACAAAGCCTCGACACAGGCTTAGCAAGGATGTCTGCTGGCATCACGGAGAAGGTTGCTTCAGGT